AGCTAAAATTATTTCCCTGGTAACTTCGATCCATAGGGCTGGTCCTAACCTCTTGGTCCACAGAGTGGGTTCCAGATCTCTTCTGTGTGACCACCCTTCAGGTATCTGAATGCACCACTCAGACCTTCTCTCAACTTCCCTTTCCTGTAGACTAAACTTTCCTCATTCTCTTGAAGGACATTCATAAATGTGATGAGCTTTCAAAGCTCTGATGGTTCTGGTAACCATCCCTTTTAAGAGCTTGCAGTATTCCAGTGCCCCTGCTGTTATGGGGCATCTAGGATGGTAAACTCTGTCTTGTACAATGTACTGTTATGGTATAGCCAACAGTTACCTTCCACATTATGGGCATCATGCTAACCTACATATCACCTGAGCTGGTATTGGTTCTTTTGACTGCCAAATCCCTCAAATTGACTTAAGGGTAGACTAAAATCTTTGGGGTTTTAGCCCATGAATTACAGCCAAGTCTTTCCTATTTTACAGTTTTATACTTGGTTTGTGGAATATAATTGCAGTTTTCATCTACCTCTGTTAAAATTCATCTCATCGGCTTCAGGCCTGTTTTGCAGGATCTTTCTGAATTTTGAATGCTTACAGTTTACTGTCACTTGCAATTTTGATAAGCAGACATTCTATATGTTTAAGTTATTGATTGAATGAGATAATTTTTCTGAAAGCATTCATTTCAACCAAAGCCCCAACGTAAGTCCTCATTATTATTATCATTATTTACACGCACATAGACACACATGAGACACAAAGAGTCGGACACGACTGAGAGACTGAACTGAACTGAGACACACATGTATGTGCACACACACTGCTCCCCTTGCCTTCACTTGCACGTCCCGAAGCCTTTCCCAGGAACTTGCACAGCAAATTCTTCCCTGATAGCTTAGGGTGTCAAGCAGAGTGACCTCTTTGTGGAAGAACTTTGACTTTTAATGCTTTCTGGATACTGTTGACTGCTACATAAGAGTGTAAGTTAGTAGAACAAAAGGCAGGGAATCCATCAAAGGGAATTATTTGCGTCTGTTTCCTCATCTGCCCAATGAATGTGATGCCAATCCCTGCCTCTATAGTTTATGGTACAGAGAGGCCAAGTGTGGGAACTAAGTGCCTGACATACTTATTGTGGTTATTCAGTTGCTCAGTCCTGTCCAACTCTTTGCCACCCCATGGACTGCAGCATGCCAGGCTTCCCTGTCCTTCACCATCTCCTGGAGCTTGCTCAAACTTATGTTCATTGAGTCAGTAATGCCATCCCACCATCTCGTAGTCCTCTGTGATCCCCTTGTCCTCCTGCCTTCAATCTTTCCCAGCATCAGGGTCTTTTCTAATGAGTCAGGTCTTCACATCAGGTGGCCAAAGTATTGGAGCTTCAGTATCAGTCCTTCCAATGAATATTCAGGACTGATTTCCGTTAGGATGGACTGGTTTGATCTCCTTGCAGTCCCAGGGACTCTCCAGAGCCTTCTCCATCACCACATTTCAAAAGTATCAATTCTTCGGCACTCAGCTTTCTTTATGGTCCAACTCTCACATCCATACATGACTATTGGAAAAACCATAGTTTTGACTAGACCAACCTTTGTCAGCAAAGTAATGTCTCTGCTTTTTAATATGCTGTCTAGTTTTGCCATAGCTTTTCTTCCAAAGAGCAAGCATCTTTTCATTTCTTTGCTACAGTCACCATCTGCAGTGATTTTGGAGCCCAAGAAAAAATAAAGTCTGTCACTGTTTCCATTGTTTCCCCATCTATTTGCCATGAAGGGCACAACAAAACCTTGTACACACCAAGACCCAGCAGAAAGGAGCTTTGCCACACTGTAATGACTAGGTCAATCTTGATATTTTTGTTATTGTTAATAATAATGATAATTCACACATAGAAACTTCAGAGACTAATAATAATATCTCACGATAGCCAGTTACTATGTACTAGGCACTAGAGATAGAAAGGTGAATGAGATAAGGCTTGGCCAACATAGTAGACAATTGAAAAAACAGCCAGCTGTGTGTTGGATGAATCTGGGACATAACTGAGACCAGCAGCGTCTGGAATTCTGACTATTTCTGCCCCTCAGAGAGTGGGGCACCCAGCTTCTGTTCCTAAGTCCGGCAAAGCAAGGCTCTCCACAAGCTGTTTTGGATTTGCTCAAGTCCTAGTGCTGGAGAATCTGGTTGGAAAATAATTACTAGTGGAAAATGGGCCTTTTCTGATTTCTTCTGGGTATGGTTAGGGAGTCTTCAGATCACAGGAGGGTAAGCATCTGCCTTATTTTTAGAAATTGCATAGAACTCCCTATTGCTTGTGAAGTACTAAAAAATAAAACAGCATTGCTTGCTTAGTCCTTTTTCCATAAACCAAAGTTGACCTCACAAAGGGAAGATGCATCTAGTGTCTTGGAAAGAGTGTGTGCCATGGACCTGGTCCCCAGCAATCACTTCTGGCCAGTGTGAGGCCCCACCTCTCAGAACCTCCACTACATTGATGGCCTAGTGCAGGGATGAATCCCTGATTTATCTTTCTCAGGGAGGATCAAAGGAGCCCAGAGATGGAGTTTCAGACCAATCTCACGTGTGTGTGTGTGTGTGTGTGTGTGTGTGTGTGTAATTTTTGTGTTTAACGGAGCAGTGATGCTTGGTATTGAGTACAGGTGCTCAGCCCTGGAGCATGTTGTCAAAGCTTTGGCAACACTTTGGAGCAGGTGCTCATTCCCACGTGAAGAACAGGCAGATTACTACAGTTGGATAAGGCGGTGTGTATGTTCTTATCTTGGGAATAACAAGACCATAAAAATAGATTAATATCCTTCAAGTGTGAATGAAAAGAATAACAATGAAAAATCTGCTGTGAGCTTTGCACACGTTCTAGGTCTAACTCATTTTGAGAAGCAGAAGAGCTTGTGCCAAGGTTCCTTGCTGAAGATAGTCTTTCAGGAAATTATATTCCTTTCAGCTGCCTCCTCCCTGTGGTAATCAAATGCATCGATGGTACCATGGAGCCAGCTTGCTGTTTCATGAAAACTCATGATTTCAGTGACTCAGTCATCATTGAAAATGTGCAAGTATATGTAGCTTCATGTGGATTGGCCAGCAGAGAAATACACTCCAACAGTAATTCAGGATCAAATTCTGCCACTAAGTAAATATAGCAGACCTGAGGGAGAAGGTACACCCTCAAGAAGTGAGTCATCCATCTAGGTGTCTGAAATACCTTTGAATAAACCCTCTAAAGCCAGTGGTGGAAAGGGATGGATAACTAAGTTTCTCATTGATCAAAGCTTTCTCCCCGGTTGCTGAAGAAACAATACTATCTCAAGCTGGGGCTTACTGTCTCAATAGGACCTGTGTCTTTTAAATTTTGAGACTAATATTGGAGAAGACCAGTCTTACTCAGGAAACACTGTCTAAATTTTCAAGAAATCATTGTGTATTTTAAAGACACAGAGTAACTAGAATTCAGCTTGAAGCTGTTGTCATGTATAGTTACTTTGGACCAGTTTTGATGAATACGTAAGTAGCATTTGTCATGAATGTTATCAACTGCATACAAATGCACAACTCGAAAACACTTGGAAATAGTCTATCTTTTAAGTAGGTTAAGCATCCCCTCTAAATCTGGTATGCATTTTTAATGTACTTACCGCCTCCTTTTAAATAGTGCCAGGTAGAATCCAATCTGTGTCAGGGCTTCTCTGAATCATACTTACAGATTCTGCTTCAGCGGTTCCACTGTGAATGAATCTGTGAAGTATCTCCTTGCATTACAGCTCTTCAGACATCAAAGACTCTTTTTGAACTGGATAATTATAGAAGGGGGGAAAAAAGCATGGTTTAGTGCTACCTGAGAGTTCTTATTAATATTACCTTTGAAATGACTAATTATGTTACCCATAAAGATTGGGGAAAAGTATTATGTAACTGACTCATTAAAAAGGCCTTTCATAAACTTTGATCCTCTCCTCCCAAGTTTGCCTTTATTTTCATCGTTACATTGATTTTTAGATTTAGTGTCCATATACCAAAATGTTTGATGAATCCAGCATAGGCCGGCACCGTCCAGCTTCACAAACTTTGTCATCTCTCCTGGGATATCGAGCATGTGATTTAATTATCCTCACTATTCGGGGAAAGTACCATGAGTCCTAAGACTCCAGCAAGATTTGAACAGCACCTCTTTTCAAAGCGAGTGTTTAAAAGAACTGAGGAGGTACCCTCTCTGCTAGTGGAGAGTGTTAGCAGGGGCTGTGCCAACATTAAGACTTCAGCTCACAAACACAGTGTCAATAGCATGGTCCTAAACTTGTCACTAACAGGCTACATCAAGAGAAATGAGTATCAGAGCATCCAGAATGAGGGTGGTGATCGTGCTGCCCTTCTCTGAGCTGGCAGATCACATCTGAAACAGGAGACCATGAATCAAAAGAGCCCCAGGCAGTCCTGAGTCCCTCCTGGGAGCACCTGAGATAGTTGACAGAATGCAGAATTCAGGCATTAGAAGAGAAGCTGAAGGTTCCCTATCAATGAATGAACAAGTTTCCAATGTCTCCAACTGGAGAAAAGATGGCACCAGGGGATCAGGCTGTTGGCTTCCAACAGCTTGTCAGGAGAAAGAAGAAATGATGTGTTCCCTGTGGCTCCAAAGGGCAATCCTGAGGTAGAACCTCTCAGGAGACAGATTTTTAGTTCCCGGCTGGAAAGAATAGTGTGATCAGGCTGTCTGAACATGAGACTGGCTGCTTTGAACAGTAGTGAGCTCCCCATCACTGGCAATGTACAAGTGGATGTGGAATGGCCCTTTATCTGAAAGATAGGCTTTAAGCAGCAGTGTGGAGCAGGGGAATGGACCGAATGACTTTAAGTTCCCCCGAATAAACTTAAGCCAATTAAGTCAGTAAGTATATAGAAAGGGCCTACCATGTTTAGTGCCAAGAAAGTGTTTCATTTTTTGAAGTTCCTGCGAATAAAGTTGCTTTGTTTTTCCTCATCAGGAGATGACCCATCCCTGGCCTACTCCTCTCACTGCCATGCATACTCCCGGAAATTCTGAGCAGAGCACACTTTCCATCCCAGGACAGGTCAGTGATCTTCTTGCTCCATTTCCCTTTCTATGATGTCAATTATACCAATCTTCCCATTGGAATCTTAAAAACAGAAATGGCCTTGGTGTTCTACCACCATAAAATCTAGACTCTTTCGTGTCCCTTAGGATGTTAATACAAATAGCATATTTATTGAAAGAGCATCTTTAAGAGAATGTCCACCAGATGCAGGCCTGTAGGTCATTATTCCTAGAGCACCACCACTGGCCGAGCTACTGTCCCCAGAGCTGATGGACCAGAGAGAGGAGTGAACTCACCCCTTAAGAAAGACCCAATAGATGATGGAACAACATCCCAGACTGTTTTAATTAAAAATCCCAGTACTCATCAGCCTAATGGATCAGTTTTCACTTTCATGTATCAATTCTAGTCCTTGCCCACAGCAGACAAATTTTTACATACCAACAACTTGTATTGACAGAAACTTTTCTCCTACAGTTCTAGTGTAGAACTGTCAAGTGTTTCATATAAATGAAATATATGAAACATGTATGTCAAGTGTTTCATATAAATTTCTTCCTCACTTGCTCTCAGTAAGAATTTTTTCTCACCATTATTTTTTAAAATGCCTGAGTAGATGTGGATATCCCAATAACACATTTTAAAAGAAAAAATAACATCTTCCTTTCTTCCATCCAATTAGCCATCCATCCATCCATCCACTCATCTATCCATCTACCCACCCATCCAGCCATCCATCCATTTACCCATCCACCTACCCACCCATCCATGCATGCATCCATCTATCTATTTACCCATCCATCCACCCACCCTTCCATCCACCCACCCATCCATCCATCCACCTATTCATCTACCCACCCATCCACCCATCCATCCATCCATTTACCCATCTACCTACCCACGCATCCACCCATCTGTCCATCCACCCATCCATCCATTTATTCAGAAACCACTTACCGAGGACATAGGGATGAAGAAAAACAAGAAATGACAAAGCAATGTAGCATGTGCCTTCATAGAGAATAAAGGCCCTGAGAAGGATCTCATACTCCCTGGGGTGGTGACCAAGTGCTTAGAGGTGACATCACCTGGAAGCTGCTTACAACTTTGACAGGTGGAGAAGGGCCCAAGAGAAGGACACTCCGTGCAGAACAGAAGAGCAGGGCACCTAGAGAGATCACGGTGGGATGTAGACTATTATGGTTTCAAGTGAACCCCAGGCACATAAGTGCATCTCTGGGAAAGGCCTTGAATGCCAACCAAGGATATTGGACTTTATTTGTAAGAGAAACCCAATCACATCCTTTAATTTTAGAGTCACTGTTTTGAGAGCAACATTGGCCTAAACTGCATTTAACCATCCCCTTCCACCTTTGAAAGGAATCAGAACTAAGTGAGCAGGGTCTGGGGTGTATCATTCCTTCCTGAAGTCCAACTCTCCATGGTCAGGCTGCCCTGGGTTTGATATCCTCCTCCTTGGCATCATAGCCAAGCGATCAATTCAGGTGTTGAATCCAACGCTTGTACAGTGATTGCAGTGTTTTCAGCTGTAATTTTCCAATGTTGCAGATAATTCGTGCAAGTCGCAATTTTGACATTTGCAAGTGTTTACAACAGAACTCGTTGTTGAAATGGGCTTTTATAGTAAGTGCAAAATTTGGAATCAGGCCTGATCTGCATTTTCTGTCAATTATCTGTGCTACCATCAACCCCATGATAAAGGTAGATGCAAGTGGGATAAAATGGTGAAACCAGTATGGCTACCCACCCACTCTTTTGTTTCCCTTGATTCCTGCCAAAACGTTGATTTGAAAGAAAAGTACATTTTAAATAATAATAACAACATGAACAGAGCATATAATGCCGTTGTGTGCCTCGCTTGATTCTGAGCACTGACTACATAGTAAATAATTCAATCCTCACTATACTGATGGACTTCCTGGTGGCTCAGTGGTAAAGAATCCACTGGCAGTGCCGGAGACCAGGTTCGATCCCTGGGTCAGGACGATCCCCTGGAGAAGGGAGTGGCTATGCACTCCAATATTCTTGCCTGGGAAATTCCATGGACAGAGGAGCCTTGTGGGCTACAGGCCATGGGTTTGCAAAAGAGTCAAACACTGCTGAAGTGATTTAGCATGTACACATGCACTATATTGAATTGACTATCCCTAGTTTACAGAGGAGAAAGCTGAGGCACACAGTCAGGTGATGTGCTCAGCATCACTCAGCTAATAAATGAGTGGGCCTGTCTTTAGTTCTGGGTGTCTTGGTGATATGTTTATCATACCAGTTTATAGACGCACTGGTTCAGATCCCATCTTCCAAAACACTCCAGCAAATACATGTGCCTGGGGTGCTGGTCCTTTCCTTGTGCTTGCACCAGGCCTAGGTGACACCACCCTCTCAGAAAGCATCCATTTCTTCCTTTCACTACAGAGCTTTCTTGGAGGAAAGGGTCTTAGGAACTGTTCTTAATCCTGGTTCTGCCATTTGCTGGCTGTGTGGTTCTGTCCAAGTTCTTCTCAGCATCAGTTTCCTCATTTGTACTGTGTGTGTGTACATGCATGAACATGTTTGCTGTGTGTAATCCCAGTGGGTTTTTCAGGCCAAATAATCTATGATTCTATAAACTTACAAAAACCAATACGCTTGAAAATCCTCAACTTAGTGAAATTTACTTATCCATCTCAAATTGAAATGCCACATTTTCAGATGGAAAATGGAAAAACTCTATGCCACATTGAGGGAGCTAGTAATGTCCCCTGGGGAAAGTCCCTTTAGACAGAAGTTGGCAAATGACAGCCCATGGCTTTTTAGATTTTTAAATGGTTAAGATTTTCCAAAGAAAAAGAATATGAAAATTACTAGTAATATGAATGCTATGAGATGCTACGAGTGATATGGAACTCAAATTTCAGTGTCTATAAATCAAGCTTTCATGGAATCTAACCACACCAATTCAAGTATGTCTTATCTATGACTGCTATCACACTACAATGGCAGGGTTAGATAGTTATGACAGAGAATATAGGCCCCTCAAAGCCTAAAATATTTACTAACTGGTCCTTTATAGGAGAGGTTTGCCAACCCCTGCTCTAGAATCTAAATCCTACAGGAACCTCTGATTTTATGATTAAGGCTATTATTTAAAATAGCCTGACATAAGTTTGTGAAAACATTTTGGCATTGTTATAGTCTACTCCTAAAATTATCTGTGTGACATGTCCATGCAAGAAATGCACAGATCAAAGTCAGACATTTAAAAAAAATTGTATGATGTGCACCAACAATTGCTGTATGAACAATGCAAATTCTCCCTACGACCAAGCTATTTTTCAGTCAGAATTGGGTATGTATGCAAAGGAACTTGGGTAATATCTAAAGATGTTTCATTGGTTTGGAATTCTGGTTTGAAACAGTCTTACCCAGCTAAACATTAAAAACTGTTTCAAGAATACATAACACAGTTGACTCAAATTCACGCAAAAATATAACCCTCCAATTTGTTTCATGCATCACTGCTCTGAAGCCTCGAACAACTGACTGTTTGGGTCTGATGTCCATGATACATGGATGAAGGGTAAAAACTCAGTCCAGGTTTCTGGGAGCAGTACAAAGGCTGGCCATAATCAGAGATATCATTTATTTGACTCTGAATGTTGTTGTTTGATTCCTGAAGCTATGCAAGACCAAACTTGTCCTATACAATTGTAATGAAATCTTTTTTAAAAATAATGAGTATATAGTTATGGACAAATGGTTAACTCCTCATTTGTTTGGCACTCTGGGAAATGTGATGCTCTGGATAACTGAAATTCTTGGATAACAAAAGGCTATCCTTCCATCTGTCAGTTCAGTTCAGTTGCTGAGTCATGTCCAACTGTTTGCAACCCCATGGACTATAGAGTCCATGGAATTCTCCAGGCCAGAATACTGGAGTGGGTAACCTTCCCCTTCTCCAGGGGATCTTCCCAACCCAGGGATTGAACTCAGGTCTTCCGCATTGCAGGTGGATTCTTTACCAGCTGAGCCACAAGGGAAGCCCTTAGTAATTGTAGCATGCTGTAATATTATGTGCTTTGTCATTCAGTTGTGTCTGACTCTTTGCGACCCCATGGACTGTAGCCCACCAAACCCCTCTGTCCATGGGATTCTCCAGGCAAGAATACTGGAGCGGGTTGCAATGTCCTCCTCGAGGGCATCTTCCCAGCCCAGGGATCGAACCCAGGTCTCCCGCATTGCAGGCAGATTCTTTACCATCTGAGCCACCAGGGAAGTCCAAGTAATATTATACTATGCTGTAATTGTGTCCTCAGGAGCTATTGGCGTGGCTAGGAATGCTTGCCTGTGTATTAAATGGCCATAGACTGGTGTATTTTCAGTTCTGACTGTGCTGTGTCATTTGCTTTGGCCCCCTGTGCTGTCAGGTTTCACAGCTCAATGTTTCTAGTGGCTGTGTTTTTAGAAGTGTTTCCCCTTCCTCACCATGTATAATTTGCTAAGGGGTGGGAATCAAATGGTGAAGCCTGTTAGGGTCTTTAGTCAAAAGTCAGTTGTCTAGCAGACTGGGGAAAGGATGGCAGTGTGGGGTGGAGAAGCCTTTGAACAGCAAACCACGTTGACTTAGTGTCAGCCCTTTGCTTGAGAGGCCTTTCCCATGTCTTGTGGAGTTTCTGCTCATCTTCTGGTGTGGTGATCATGCCAGAAGATAAGTGTCTTGGGTAACAGAATCATATTACATAGATTGGAAAACTCACTTTCAATTTAAACACAGCATCATCATCATTCTAGCTCACTTCTCTTACATAACAGTATGCTGTGATCTTATTTTTACTCTATAGGGTGGTAAGATTAAGCTTAAAGAATAGATTACTTGCAGAAGATTGATATAATTCTTTTAAATAATTTTTTTATTTGAACTATAATTGATTTACAATGTTGTGTTAGTTTTACATGAACAGCAAAGTGAGTCAGTTATGTAGACATATTTGTGTGTCTATGTGTGCATGTGTGTATGTTCTTGATATAACTAATTCTTGTATTTATTTGAATTCATGGTCTCTGGTTGGAAACACTTGCTTTGCCTTTGAAATTCCCTCCTTCCTCTACACATGTGTCCATGCTCCCAGAAGGCCTGATGTGTGCAAATCTGGATTTCTTAACACACTTATGAGTCACATTGAGGGTGACTTTCAAGTAAAATTGAAATCTCTTTAGGTCACACGCTCCACTTGCGTAGTTGGAATTGCTTCCTATACATCTGTGACTTTGCAATGAAGTTTTAAGAACACTCTTCTTGTAAAAATAGGAGACATCTATTGCATATGTGTCACCGTCAAGGTAGAAAATTGGAGTTGTTTCAATAAAATGGAACAATTGAGCCAGTCTGTTAATTACAGTGTTATTTATACCTCTACCAAAGTCATGATCCTTTGTTTGAGTCCCCTTTACTTCCAGAGAGGCATCGTTGCCTAGCTAAGTGAGAAATTATATATTTGAATCTCACACACCTGGGTCATTTGTTCCCACATTGCACACATTTCCAAACAGATACCAGTCTTATGTGTAATTCTGATAAAATGGCACTTATGGTCAAGTTGTAGCAGGTTTAGCTGGCAAATGTCTATCCTTTAAGTAGAGCTTCAGACAGTAGCCTAATTAATGGACTCCTTAACAGTGATTTCCAATTTGCCAACATTAGTCAAGTTATATCTTCAGCAATAACAAATAGACCTTTGGTTTCTTTTGTATCCTTTAACTAATGTTTGTATTGTCTGTGTTCTTCCTTATAGGAGTCCCAACATCTGACTCCAGGATTTGCCTTACAAAGTAAGTGTTTTGAAGAAAAATCTTCCTTGGCCAAAACCATTATCTCCTCTCCTCCCTCACTTTCTTCTCTTTCCTACCTAATGTCATGAAAATATGAAATAACAACAAGAAAAAGTCACATTGTGATATATCCAATTGGTTTCCTTTTTAATTCGTCTGTTATATATGGCAGGATTCTGTGAAAAGTATAACTGGAAGGGCTGCATGTTCAAGACCAATGTTGTTCAGAATTATTTGACAGTAGAAAACATGGATGGTAAATGTCTGTGAACTTTCTTTTCAGAGTGGAGTGACCCGACCAGCAGAGCATCTACAAAGTGAGTACTGTTCAAGTCCCAAGTATTCAGGTTTCTGAAACAGGCTTCTTCAGGGGCATTTGGCAAGGAAAATGTGCTTTGGTGCTGAGCAAATCTTGTTCTCTCTGCTGCTCCTTGAAAACAGGAAACTTGCCTCTTAACAATGTGGAGTGTGATTAGAGGGGAGAATGAGACTTCCCACAATAAGCCAATAACAGCCAAAATGAATGAAATCACCATTAGGCTCTCTAGCATTGTAGATACAAGCTGGGTCAAAAATAACTGTGATTCTTGAGTTGTTTGAGCTATTTGAGTTGTTTGAACTATGATTCTTCAGTTGTCTAGTTGCTTGAGCATTGTGTCACTCCAGCCACAGACATCTTTATATGTAACATTTGGCCACCACTGACTAGTATAGAGAAAGAAGCCGCCTAAGTAGCTGTGATTGAACATGAGGGCTTGAGTGCATTGTTCTGGCCAGTCAGCCTGGGACCTCGCTGTTCACAGGTCATCTGGTGACTGTATATTAAAGATAAACAAGGGCAGCCAGCAAGAGATGGAATAAGAGATTGCATGATACTAGGTTGAAGTTCAGAAGCCAGGGCCCTGCAATTCACTCCACACTGTCTTCATTTTTTATTAATGTTCACTGAAGGAGGGGCCTGGAGAAACCAATTTCCTCAGATTAACTATTGTAGATTTTGTAATATCCATTTGTCCAAGAGTGTATCAAGGGAGTAGTTCTCTCACAACTTCTTTCACTCCTAATAATAGAAAATGGAAGCCAACTTTTCTGTGTTAGTAATAGTCACATACTTGAAAATTTTCAAAATGAAATAATATATGTCATTTGAGTGGCCTAATGGCACAGTTGAAGTGAATTGCTCACCTTTTGGAAGATCACGAATAATTGCATAAAACAACTGGGAATGACTCCCAAATAGACCAAGGCTCTGAGAAAGTCAGTGGCATTTCCATGGTCTTGGTTCTGTTTAGTACTAAATTCCTCAAAACGCTGACCTCATTATCAGTCCTCTTATTTGGTTTTCTGGCCTGATCTGTGCCTTATAAGTCAAGGTTCCATTTCAACACCCAAGAATTCTACATTTAAAGAATCCAGGGAAAAAGAAAGAGAGAAGGGTAAAATAAAACTATAACCTTGATTTAAGGGCCAAATTAAATGAAAATGTGGTAATTGAAATCTTTTTTTGTTTTTTGGCTGTGTTGGGTCCTTGTTGTGGTGCTTGGATTTCTCTCAAGTTGTGGCTTACAGGCTCCAAATCACATGGACTCAGTAGTTGTGGTACAGAAGCTTAGTTGCCCCATGGCAGGTGGGATCTTAGTTCCCCAACTAAGGGTCAAACCTAGGTCCCCTGCATTGGAAGGTGGATTCTTAACCGGGGAAGCCCCAAAATCATCTTTGATATTGTTCATTCCAGCTTTTCCAGTCATCATTTTGCATTGACTTTCCCCTTATTATCCTAGTAGACAATAAACCTTATTCTCCTTACCTCTACTCCTAACTTGCTCCACTCTTATTCCAAAGTCAGTATAATTCACACACACACACACTCACAAAAAACACACAGTCAAGCATTCAGGAAATCAATGCAGGCTTCCAAACATGAAAACATGTAAGAATATTTTTTCCATTGTAAAATGATTCTACTCCTAAAGCAAGAGTTTTAGGCTCCTGCTGTGAAATAGGCTGATTTCCATATAGACCATAAAATGCAGTATTTCAGTAGTTTGTAACTAACAGAAATAAACTAGTCAATTGTGGTTTATAGCTAGAGGCTGCATCTCCAGACAGTAGCACTGGGTATACAGTGCATTTAGTAGGGCTAATGTGCTCTATAGGCATTGTCAATAAAGCTGGAAGACACTGAGTCTGTTTAATGGGTGAACTGCCCTTCTTTTAGTTGCTTGATCTAAAGTCAAAGCATTGTTTGTCAGACTCCAGCTGGAATAAATGACCTTCTTGTCATAGGGTATAGGTTTAACACAGGACAGGTCAGAGCTATAATAAGTATTTTCACTTTTAGCTTCCAAATTATTATCAACTTAGCCATTATGGTCATTCTCCCTTATTTTACTACACTGTGCTTCTGAAGTCAGTTTCTAGGCTTTTTCATCTGGCAAGATCATCCTCCAGGCATCTGAGAACATCCTGCATGTAGAGAGACTGTTAGTGGCTGGAGGTTGGTGGGAAACAGCCCCAAGATAGCCCTTCTGCAGGAGAGAAACCCTCCTAAGGCTTACGAATGTCCTGGGCAAGCCCCTAGCCCTCACTGCAGTAGGAAGACATGGGAGCCCTGTAAATCAAAGTCCCTTTGCTACTGGGCTACTTGATTATTTTCCTCATCTTGGCCTCATTTCCCCAAATGACGAAATGCAGATCTTCCATTTGGGCCTGGGTTGTTTATAAGTACTGCACGGATCAGCACCAGGACTGAAAACACCAGCACAGGGTTTCCCGAGTGCAAGCTCGGAACTAACCAGGCTCTGTGATGCAGCAGGATCACTGGCCTTAGGAGAATGGAAGCTCTTCTCACCCCAGCATGACCCATTGACACACAGTGCTTTCTATAGGGTGTGCATCTAAGTGGTGACATCCTACCTGTTCCATCTGGAACCCTGACTTCCCAGCAGGCCAGAGCATGCAACTGGGAGAGAGTTTCAAGATCCAGGCTTGAGTCTTTTTTCCATGACACTGATGGCATTGGGGGAAAGCAATGACCTCAGATTCAGAGGATTCGAGTTTAAATCAAGGAGGAATTTATTTCAGAGTATAGAGATAGAGCCCCTTGAGGAACATGAGGCAAAATAACAAACGTGTATATATGCATACTGGTATACATGAAAACACTTGTCACAATTCAAATGTAAACAGTTATACTCTCTAGTAATTCAACTCAATCTCAAAGTGCATTGAATGTAAACCCTTAATAATTTCTGGAGGAAAGAAGACCCAGGATGTTTTGTTTCCCTCAGCCTGTATAAGTCAGAGTTGTATTATAGTCTTGAAACAGGCCTCACCCAGTTCTTCTAAATCCAGTGGAGTTTCTAGCCTCCTTCAAAAAAGGTCTCTTTTCCCCAAAAGAGTGGAACATGGGCTATTGAAGGTCAAGTTGTATTTCTCAGGCTGTAGAGTTGTGTAGTTCTATAGTGATACCCTGCCCGTCCTGCTTCTAAAGCACCCATTTATTTCCAGGAAAAGATTCAAAGATTGAAGGGACACCCCAGATAATAGGTTACCTTCTAGTTTCTTTATGACGCCATTAAAGAACAATGGAGGAGACAATGGAAATCAAATCCAAAAAACTTGAATTTTCTTCATTGAGTTCGATGTCTTCATCTAATTGACTCTATCAGCTTGTCAATTATTTGTCAGGGCAGTAACTTCACCAAAATACATGACTTTGTTGGTCTTTTATGAGCCATTCTGAATAGGGACAGATCAAATTCTTCCTGTAAATCATTTTCAGACAGCAACCATGAACTCAAGAGTATCCCTCTAGTCTTTACTTGATTTTAGCTCATTTTGTGAGGACTGGTGAGAAGATGGCAGCTCCATATATGGATGTTTGGATATTTCCTTTGTCATCCTTGGTTGTTTGCATTTGGATTCTGTCCAGTTGGAAATCATGTAGACCCCCTTTTAATGAGGTATCTCCTGTGTTTTAGGTCGTGCTGTTGAGAATTCCTGGATAGTTTCCATAAAAGCCCAACGTAAAGGTAGTTGTAACTATAAGTCTGCTCTTTCCTTGCCATGAAACCAGTTTCTTCATTTATGGCACTAGCTACAAGTCTGAAAGCTTCCCAGCCATGGACCCAGACAGTTGATGAAAGGCCTGACAGAGAGAGTCTAGTTGTGGCCAGTTTACCTGTGGGTGACAGCTATGCATACCACATGGACAAATTCTTGAATGTAACACCAGATAGGAGGAAAAGAAGTTACACTCTCACAGGAATGGTAGACATCTGTGACAGTAATCACTGGATCATGGGTGAGGCAAGATGCCAGGTCTCATGCCAGGTGCTTTTATATACACCACCCTATTATATTTAGTAGGGCTTTCCTGGTGGCTTAGATGGTAAAGAATCTGCCTGCATTGCAGGAGGCCCAGGTTTGATCCTTGGGTCAGGAAGATCCCCTGGAGGAGGAAATGGCTACCCATTCCAGTATTCTTGCCAGGAGAATCCCGTGGACAGAGGAGCCTGGTGGGCTACAGTCCATGCCAACCTGGAGGGGCTCCCAATAATTCCCATTTTACAGATGTGAAAAATTGCACTAGAATATCATCCCTCCTTATGAAGTATACACAGTTCAGTGGGAGGACAAACTGTTTATCTTGAACAGACATGTTAGCTGTGAGTACACAGGAGGGACAAATAAGTTACATTGCTCTTCATGGGAAAGCTTGCATGCTCAGTTCAATTCAGTTGCTCAGTCATGTTCGACTCTCTGCGACCCCATGAATCACAGCATGCCAGGCCTCCCTGTCCATCACCAACTCCTGGAGTCCACCCAAACCTATGTCCATCTAGTCGATGATACCATCCAACCATCTCATCCTCTGTCGTCCCCTTCTCCTCCTGCCCTCGATCTTTCCCAGCATCAGGGTCTTTTCCAATGAGCCAGCTCTTCGAATCAGGTGGCCAAAGTATTGGAGTTTCAGCTTCAACATCAGTCCTTCCAGTGAACACCCAGGACTGATCTCCTTTCAGATGGACTGGTTGTATCTCCTTGCAGTCCAAGGGACTCTCAACAGTCTTCTCCAACACCATAGTTGAAAATCATCAATTCTTCAGTGTTCAGCTTTCTTCACAGTCCAACTCTCACATCCATACATGACCACTGGAAAAACCATAGCCTTGACTAGACGTACCTTTGTTGGCAAAGTAATGTCTCTGCTTTTTAATATGCTATCTGGGTTGGTCATAACTTTCCTTCCAAGGAGTAAGCGTCTTTCAATTTCATGGCTGCAATCACCATCTGCAATGATTTTTGGAGCCCC